CCACGAGGCAGTGGGAGAATGTAGGGTTTTCTTTGGGGACCCTACCCGGAGCCGACGACTCAACAGTCTGACCTGCTCGGCTGCAGGGGGTTGGCCTAACCCGAGGGGGGAATGAATAAGGCATTACTGTCTCATTCCTGATTCGGCTGCGCACAGCAGGTGCCTTTTGAGCATCACCGGGCTCTTTGGTTTTGTATTTCGACCTCCACAGTCTGACCTGCTCGGCTGCAGGGATATGGCCTAACCCGAGGGCGCAGGGAATAAGACATTACTATCTCATTCCTGATGCGGCTGCGCACAGCAGGTGTCTTTTGAGCAGCACCGGGCTCTTTGGTTTTACAAGTATTTCGACCGTATTGGATAATGCGCCGGCGGTCACGGTCAACCGTTGGGCGATCGGAGTGTGCGGTTTTTGGGGCCGACCTTTTCTAACCCGTCCTTCCTCGGTGGAAGGCAGCATCGCTGCTTCCATAAATATGGACATGCTGGTCGCCTGGGGGAAACACCTTACTGCCTTCACACTCCTGTCGCAGAGGACAGTACGACTTTACCTCCAGGCCGCCTCGTAGCACGATTACTGGTAGTACGGGGCCTCGCTGCTCTTGGTCTGGTTGCTCCCCTTTGGCCTTCCTGGCATGGTTGCACCTTGTGGAACGAAGTTCCAGCCAATGTAGCCCGCGGGATCATTGCAGCACTGAAGCCCGACCACCACGTCAAGATGGCAGCTTTAGGTCGGCAAAGAAACCTGGTACAAACCTAACACAAGCCTTCGAGGTACACGAACTTCCTAGGACTGATTCACACTAAGCAGAGAAGCTGCTAACGTCAATGCCACTAGTGTGGGTGAGTGGTGTGATCTCGCAGCGCAACTAGCCGCGGGCGGAAGAAGGGTGACGTGAAATATATCGTACAACGTGAACATTTCCTCACCCACACAATGGAGACGTCTTGATGGGGTTGGTTTATTTGGGCAGTTGCAGTTCAACTGAATACCCAACAGGACTCATACCAACCTCTTATTACCTACTCATCTTTATCCGATTTTTACGGGAAAAAATTATAGCTGACAAAGCTAGCGTACTGATCATCAAGACGGTGACCAGTTCGGATGTGTCCATTGGAAAAAAATCGTTCAGCTGTAGCATTCTTTCGGTGTCTGGCCGCCGTGCCACACGAAGGAGGCATGAGGGCTGGGATACTGCCAGGTTGTCCAAGCCTGGACAGGGGAAGTCGAGAGGCAGAGGTCGGATTTGAACCACAGACCTTCCGGTCAGTAAATTCGCGTTATAACCACTTGGTCCATCTTGCCCAGTTCATTGGGATACGGACCTCAGGTCGGCAAAATGCCGCTCCATGTTTCTAGCCGCCAGGTTATCTAGGCTGAAGCACTGCCAATGCATGCTTTGAACAGCTCACTTTACAGTGCAATTTTTATGGAGTCAGCCGTACACTCGTCTACTCATTAAAAAACGTGCTACCTTGGGACTCAAATGAATTCCTCATTTTTTCCTGTGATCTTTTAGCGTATGTACCTAGAGCAATTCAATCCATTTGTTTACCATATACTGACCGCTGGCTTAATGAATTTTTTTCTAGCTGCCTACAATGTCGAAGACTTGATCAGTCTGTTTCGGGAGATCCAAATTATGGTGCTCCTGAATGCTCATCCTCATATCATTCGGTTAATGGGGATTTGTACGCAAAACGGTAAGTAGTGTTCTGTTGTTGCGTGTTCCGTTTTCTTCTTTTCTATGTGATGCACACACCTGTTGACTCAAGACAATGTGACAGGGGAATGTATCACTCTTTCGCACCAGTCGTAACGAGACTCTTGACGTCACTTCTTCGTCACCCTGTGGTGGCCGGTAAGGCACAAACCCGAAAAGCAACAAGCGGGATCCCGGAGTTGCGTTGACCAGATCCCCTCACTCCATCAGGTTCTAGAACAACGCCATACGTATAAGCAAGCCACACTTTCGGTAATCCTGGGCTTCCAGAGTGTATTTAAATTTTCTCATAAGTCCGTTCTACTTAGCGCACTCTCAGCAGGAAATGCCCTGAACTTTGTGAATAGGTCCTGTATATTCTCAGAATTCCGTACGCGTCAGAGTATACGGAGAACTCTACAGCTTCCCTAACAGAGATCCATCAAAGGTGTCCAATCTTTCCATTCCTATTTAATTTCGTGGTTGACGAGATAATGAGGTGAACAATAAAACGTTTTCAAGACCGTGGTGTTCAGATAGCTTCTGCCGAAAACCTTGTCTATCTGAAATGTGCAGACTTCGTTTTTGTTGTCGAAGGGGACAAAAAGGCGTCGGCGTTGTTGAAAAAACCACTAGTCTTTTGGTATGTGCTTCTGCATCCACAACGTGTATAATCATGCTTCTGAAATCGCCACTTACAATCCAAGCAAAGGCATTCGAGTTTCACGTATGTTGGATGTTGTATTGCTCCCAGTTGTAGCGTGACAATTGAGGTCAGTGCACGAATCCCTATAGCTCGGTTCGCATTTGTTAATTTATGACAACCGTAACGGGGTTGCCACAAAGGAAATCTCACCCGAATCCCCCCTCCCAAGTGTGTTTCCTGTTTTGAGGCTCCTCGAGCAAAGGAACCTTCATTTGACGAGTCATACGGATGACTCGTTTTTTGTCTCCCCGACTACTGACGAAACCTGTCAGTAAGCATCACCGCTAGTCTTGGCTTGCAAAACGCTCTGCCCCTCTGTATTGTAGCCTCAAAAAGACCAATCAAACTGGGCCATGCTTTACTGGTAATCGTTTACTGGAGGGAAGAATAATCTAGCTTTGCAATAGTCGTACCGTGCACAGCCATACGTTCATATTGAAAACGATTGTTACAGAAAAGGTCTCCAGTACTACCGTGTGGTTGTGCATTAATATCGCAATGTCAGGCCATTAGTCGTGGAGACAAAATCGGGACTGTGCGATCACTCGTGTGTCTCATCGTTACTCGATCCCTACCGGGAGGGGTCATCATCGGTAACAGCAACACCAGGTGAGAACAATGGTGCTTCACTCCCGTACAAACATGTCAATTCATTTGACAAGAAGAAAGAAAAAAGTGATATGAAGGGGACCTAGGACCAGCCTAACAAAAGCATCCGAGATGTCCACATCTCCAACGCTCAGTCGGATCATACAGATAGAAACTGACGACATGAATGCCACTGACATTAGCCGCCGATGTCCACATCTCCAACGCTCAGTCGGATCATACAGATAGAAACTGACGACATGAATGCCACTGACATCAGTTAGCCGCCGTCTCATTCAGTGTCACGTGAACCTCATCCTGGAAGCCGAATAGCACTAACAATGCCTAAACTTTGTAACATAATTCTTTTGTACCATGTCAAACTATGTCCACCTCTAGGTTTCCGCCACTGCGAAATGGGCACGGAGAATAGCGCTCAGCATGCATAACACAGGATCCAGTCACCTTAGTATGCAGTGACGAATGCTTCTTTGAATAAAGTACATTCTGGTTCACAAAAGACCCGTTTCATGCTCATCCCATTCCGAATTCACTGGTTCTAGCTCAATCCAGTCATAGTTCTTGGACGTCTGTCGTCAAAGACCTGAAGAGTTCCGAGGTCCTCCGTTTGAAATGGCTTAGTCTCAGCCGTGCACCGCGACTGTAGTCTGCTAAACGCGTCTTTTGGGGCCCAGTGGCATACCTTTTTGATGCCACAAGTGGCGCAAATTGGCGAATCAGTTGTGGCCGTTGATATCCATGCGTTGACTTTAACTGCATACTACCTTCAGAGCTAATTCAACTTCCGAGATATGTATAATGTTCCACAACTTTCATTATCACTCCTCAAAAGGTGTGTTAAAGACTATATCCGAAAGACTGGATTAATTTGCTCTGATTGCTTGCATTCCTTGCGCTTCCTACTTTTAAAAATGACAATGTCGTCTGCATATACCAGGTCGACAAGGTGCCCGCTCGGAGGTTCCTGCAGGCCGGTGTTTCGGAGATCTTCCAACGTTCGCCCCATTACTTCATCGTTGACAAAAGTAAACAAAAATGGGGTGAATGGACAGCCCCGTCAGATACCACTGCTTGCAGGAAAGCTTTTGGAGAGCTCCTTATGCACTCTCACCTGCTCACAAATATATACTTGTATTATTCACGAAGTTCTGGGGCACACAATTTTTCTGGACCCACCAAGCTTCTAGATCCGCCCAGATGTTTTTTCACCTGATGTCTGACGGTTCGTCGCATTCCAGTGCACTGTCGATCATGAGAAATACATGTCCAAACTTCGAGTGATTTTAGAGTGTTATTCTAGGCCCAATGCTTGGATCTGGTTGCTTGTGGCGTTCCACCGACAGAGCTCCCAGGACCTTGCAGATTTGTGAAGAGTACCTCCCAGTAAGAGTCACCGTCGGAAGACGTGTTGTCCGAAAGGGGCTCCAATAAGTGGTTTTTGTAGGCTTGATTCACATCAGAATGCGAGAACTTCTCAATAGCCAAGCGAGGTATGTGCATCTTGTGCGCGCCTTTGGAAGACATACACAGAAGCGTAAACGAAAAGGTACCTTATCCAAATCCACCTAGGTGTCCCAGAAGGAGCGACGGTCAGTGGTTGACTCACACCACGTAAAGCTCGTCGCAATCTCGTTTATCTGTGCTGAGAGTTGGCTTACATGCTAAAGACGCCATGTGGCCACATGGCTCCAGCTGTTTCGAAAGTTTTTACCCCACATAAACAGACTGTGGTCAGTACACAATCGCAGAAGGTCCGCCATTGTCCGTGAGCCTCGATTTCGAAGACCACCCAAGTCCGTCTACTTGGGTATTCTTATCTGCGGCAACCATGACAGTATCCAAGCTCAGCTCGCACATTAAGTGCCGTAAAAACCGTCTTTGAGCGTATCAGAGCTACAGTCGATTGTGACGTAAGCAAATACAATGAACAGGGAACGGTCATCAACCCGTTTACGGAATACTCTTACAGACGTTGCCCAACGAAGCGCAGAATGGTGAATACTAACGGGAAGTCATTCAAGCGGGGAGCGTTTAACTCGGTGGTTTAGAACAATGTCAACCCAAGCAGAACCACCGTCAGCGACTTCCGGATTACCAGAGGTTCGCAGCAAGAAGCGAACGGAAACCGAATGAGTGGTCAGTTCAACAACCGTACTTGGATCTTGAATCCCCGTTTCAGACAGATGGCCTACATCAATTGAGAGCGAGTCCAGCATACATTCAAGGGCAGTTTGTTGTCCAGCTTGTTTCAGAATGGGAATGCTAGATAGACTGAGCGACGGGGTTTGAAGAGTGACTTCGAAGTGTCTGTGACCGAGGCGGCAAAGTCAGCTGTAGTTATTGCAGCTAGTTTCAATGGGAGGCGAAAGGTTCTATCAGTCCTTAAAAATGGGCCTATGGAGATGTCGCCAGAAACGAGGTAAGGAGTAAAGAATATTGATTATGTGAAAGAGGAAGATGGGCGTCGTCGACAGTGGCCTACTTCCGCTTACCCGCCGCGCTGTGAAGCATCCCGGCTGATGGCACCATGCAACGGCCGAGTTGGCAAGAAATTAATTGCAACTGTGCACTGTGGCGTACATAGTGCCAGAGTACCAAGACACAGACAAGAGGATGCTATGGACCCTCGACCGAAGTCTGTGGCCCAAACATTGAACCACAAGGCAGCGGTGGTTGGTTAATATGGTTAGAGCAGCCTACATTTTTAAGGAGCAAGTCGCCAATTTGGATCGCCAGGAAGCAGTGTCTGTCAGACTCACCCATTTACCAACCTGGTATGGGAGGCTCTCTTAGTGTCACATGTACACACTCCACTATGACTTAATAGGTTATGTAAGTACACAAACCGTCGCTTCGCGGTAGGGTCCAGTCTCTTCGCAACAGAGTATGTTCTGGTGAGAGCCAGATGAGCCCTATTTCCAATCCGAGTGGTCAGTTCAGCGAACCTAATGAAGCTCCATGAAACATGGTGGCTCAGGAGCTTCGATGGGTCTGCAGTACCTCAACACTATTTTGCTCGGTTCATTAGCACTGGAGTGCAATCAGCTGATCACATTCCCCCTCTTCGTGCAACCGAGACCTCGTTGCTACTCAGTTGCTCCTGATTCATTGTACCATTGCCCCAGATAATTTGTAGACAGCTAGAGTCGAAATATAGTGAATAAATGAGAGCGCACGGATATTCGCCAGAAACTGTTATTGTGTCTGCGACCTAATTGCGGTTTTGTTTAACGAAGTGTGGGCTGTGTTTTAAATGGTCTGTCAGTTTTTATATAACATCCAAGCAGGGTAATGTGTCAGCGTCCGAAAGGTAGCATGTAAACTGAGCCGCAGTATTCTTGAATACACCCGACTCTAAAGTACAAAAATAGTTGCACTCGTAGTGCACCTAATTGAATTCACTTTGTTCTTGAACCCTGTTGACGGTTGACCCATTTATAGGGTGTCGTAATGTTACCCTTTTTACACAGCACTTGCAACCCCCGAGAGTGGATCTCGTTCTCAAAGCCAGTGTCCACAAGTTTCGATCAATTATCTGCTTTGCAAAAGACACTGGTTTTGCCACCTAAAGATCCGTTTACTGAAAGCTGTCACTAAGAGTTAGTGTTGAAGTTTCCTCCGTCACGCCAGTAGTAAGAAATTTTTGTTTCGACTTTCTTGCTCTCATTCCTCCGTATCACCACTCGCGTTTTCTTCTTGACAATGAAACCGATGTTTCATGTACGGTACTCTTCCCCTCGAGGGACCACATGGCAGGAAACACTCCTCAGGGAGACAAACGTTAGGGTTTGGGCTTCATTTCCTGTCAGATCCGCTGGAACCCGAGGCATGATAACACGACAACGATATCCTGGGCTATCCACCCAGATTTAATGGTTGGCTATCACGTTAAACGATTTACGCTATCAGGTTGGTTGGTATGCCATTCTACCACATCAGTGGGCTTCTTTTGACTTGCGTTCACTTGATGTCTGACAGTTTATCCGTGGATGTGAACACAGCAACGTTCGTTGTAACACTAGAATCTTATGGAGTCGAATTACACGTATGTGTAATCTGCACGAGAAGCCACCCCTAAGACTGTTCTTGGACTTCACATTTTCAGCAATTCGCGGTTGAAACAATGTCTGAAAGTAGCACGGCCAAGAAACAAGGTGAAGCATCATACGTTAACTTTGTAAATACCGAAGCCATTAGAAGAAATATTGCACTCACGAAGTACACTGATTTGTGTACCTATTTGGTCTTCTCGGAAAACTTAACTGAATCCCAACTGGAACTCTCGTTTGTGATGCTTTTCCTCAACTGGATGCACTACACCGGGCTCCTCATGTTTCAGTTGGCACAATACGTCACTGTCGCAATACATCGTATAGGCGTAGCACACTACTCGAAAACTTGCTGGGAACTCTGCAACAGTCAACCACTGGTTTTGCCATTCTTGGAACTCAGCATCTAGGTGCATCCCCCGAGTTTCGCTCAAACTTATGTTCTCCTTTGATCAAAATTGCACGAAATTAGCGAAAAACACCCATTTACTCATCAATTTGTTTCACTTTTGTTTCGTTTAGGGTGTTCTTATGAGCCGCGAGGAAAGCGAAGCCCGTCATATTGTGTCGGAAAGTTTTCAGCAACCTAATGAGTAGTGTGTTACTCATATAACATTGCATTCGCTGTTATTTAGAAATACATTACCATGATAAGTTGTCCTCTAAGCCAATGAAAATTCTCTGTCCCAGGGCGCGAAGTGTGCAATGCGCTTCCTACTAATCAATTTCCCACGATGAAAAAACCCATCGCTGAAACACTTTGGTATCCTACGAATATGTTTTCTCGTTCGCTTCCAAACCCAAAAATAAGCATACTCTGTGTTACCGGATGAACATGAAAATTTGGGTTCGGGCTGTCAGTGCACTTTTGTCTTGATGCTCCTTTTTCAATATCCCATGCCTGCTGTGGAACTAATGACGAGCCATCAATATTCCTCTTGTATTCGGCGCTCGTTTATTTGATGTTTTTTGTTATGATGAACTGTAGTGCTTCAAACCGAGCTAGGCTCGCTTCACGTAACGATTTGTAACAGCTCTGACAGATTGACACAAGTGATTGACGTGATGTGCGGGTGCAGTAGTGTGGTTCTCATCCGAACTGTAACCTATCTATTGTACGCTATACGCTACTTCGCAGGGACGGCGTCAACTACGGTTGTGTAGTCTTCCGCACATGAAATATCTGAGATAAGTCCTCAATTCACGATGGGCGCACCTGCAAGTTTAACCGACACTGTAGAACTTGCCCAACCCACAACAGTATGGCTTTTCGGGCGTTCGAAGTATGAATCGGTGCAAATGTGGTCCGCTTCGTGTCGTTTGTGGTGAAAAATTCTTTTTAGTTCAGGCGAGCACGATGTTGATTATAAATGTGCTGCGGACATTGAGCTTCATAGTGACCATTTCGATATGTGACTTACTGAATCCCCGGTATTCGAAAAGCTCAAATCAAGTGGCCGCACAAGTTCAAGACCAAAGGAGGAAGATCCGTCTTAAACTGTGGCATAATATCTTATTCCCGGAGAAGCTCCCAAGGGGAAATACTCCCGTCGAGAAGTCCGTTTCGGGGGCAGGTGGTCTTACTACTGTTCTTCAGAGAAACAAACCTTAGAACTGAAGGAGCCGAACGTTCTTTACTCAAATGACCGATTTGCTCCCCAATAGGAGACACCACAATTGGATTGTCCTATGCGATTACCCCTTATTGTTTGATTTTTTTATTGCTCCACAGATTTTGTCTTAAGGAAGGCTGCTACACTAACCCACCATATTGGTGAACTGTTTCTGATAAGACCTGACTTAGCCTTGGCTACGAACAAAACATCATTTGTCTACACAGGTCGCAATTAAAATATCGATTGAAGATATCACAGTCGAGTTCCCGACCACTCGTCATTGTTCCCTTTCTTGAGTAGGGGTACGTACTCGTGCTTATTTGTCGTGCTCGGCGGTTCTCACGGAAGGTGAACCGAGTGATGATGATTGCGGATGATTGATGAATATACGCGCCTGATGCCTCTTTTCCGTCTACACCTGAAGCGCCACACCCCCTGTGGCCCTTTATACTAATTTCGTGTTTGAATCCTGTGTATTGGATCGTCTCTGAAACCCTTTTTAGGGGCATTTCCTTTACACGTTGTGTTTGCTTAGATTGTTTCCCTTGAGCGTATCCTTTTTTTTGGGTGGGGTAGGCACTAAACAGGACTACACCATTGCTTACATTCTTATCATGAGCTCTTGTTTTTTCCCAAAATGTTGGTTTCACAAGCTCAGAAAGGTGAACGATTTTTTGAAGCGGAAATTTGAGTGTAGTATGTGGTTTCTGTTTCACTTGTGTCTAAAACGTGGTGTTCACAGGAAAAACGCATTTCAAAGTCAGAGCGCTGGCGTGTTTGGTATAATTTCTGTTGACTCTTTTAATGGATGTCTTGCGTTTCTAGCTTTGTGAATCCATTGGGTCTAGAACGAACCGCGTAAACACAATGAAACAGCTCCGGAATTGTCGTCTCAACCGGCTTCGTTCGGTCCCATCAGTCTCGTCGCACAAGCATCACAAAATCGGTTTTCTTTTTTCTGGTACTTGACTCTCTGGGACGTTTGATCCCAGGTCGCAAGCTGTGGTGTTACTACGCTGAAATCGGTCAACAATCGTGAATGTTACAGTACTCTATCTGTTCCAACCGCGCTGCCCCTTGTGGCCGAATACATATTGCTTGGGAACAGGAATACTAGCGGAAACCGTGCTGGGAAACGTTGGAAATAGCACAGGAGAGAAGCAACGGTTAGAAATTGCGTTAAATCTGAATGATTTAGTAGGTTTTCCTTGGTTTTTCTTGAAATTCCGGTGACCTTGCTATTCGGTGAACCAAAACAGAGCGAGACCGGTGTTGGGTTGTCCGTCAATTCACTTTACCTAGATCCAAATCCATGCCACTGCATTGCAGGCGTAACACCCTGTAATAATTCTAACTCATGCGGCGTGGCGATGCACTCCAAATCGTAAATCTACCGCATCCCAATAATTGCCAGTTCAACGTTTTCCTAATTATGCGACACGGTAGCTGTTTGGTTGCCATGATCGGGGTATGGCCTGGTCGGGAATTCGGTGCTTGAATTTTCCAGGAACTTAACAGCGTCATTAGATCGATGGGGTCACGAAACCCTCCGTTACTGAAGCCGGATTATCAATACCCGCTTGTGAAGTTATCCACAAGAAGTGACTCCATCGAATCCGAAATACTCGGAGATAAAATGGACCGGAATTTGTCGTCATTGTGAATGCCTTTGTACGCTTGTCGCTGACAACGGTACACCGGTAATCCAAGAGAAGCTGGCAGTCAAGGGCAGAATGTCTGCAGTTTTCAACAGCACCGAAAGAAACATCTCAGCATGAGTTCGTTGGCATCGGTTTGATGGACGTAACACTATTACGAATGAAAGACTGGCACACAAAAATAGGATGCTGCAAATAGTGCCAAATCCAGATGGGGAAATAGCCTTTAGATACTGCCAAACAATGAAGGTTTGATATTGGGCCAGGTATGGGTACATACCAAACTGCCTTCAAAGCACGCTGGAACTAGTTGCGTAATCCAGCGGTGACTAATGAAATAGGGGAATGGGCCATTTGTTACGCCCGTATTGTTCGTAACTTCGTAAATCCGACAAGATTTCACAAACGCCTTTGGAAATAAGTGGAATTTTCGTAGGAAGATTTGAGACTTCTGTGAGACACTTGTGTGACCTTCGCTGAAGGGCTACTGCCACATGTTACATGAATAATCGGGAAATACGATCTAGGAGCTGAGTGCCTAGGGAAGATAAAGTTCGAAATCATCTACGTCTAATCGGGTAGTTGAGATCAATGGGCTAAGTTCACTGGGGGTCCAAGCCAGGGTCTCCATACACACACTGGACAGGTCATACGGCAGCCACGCGCAGCACTAGTACTGGACACATTTTTCGCTTTTCACGCCACCGACCTGACTTCTTGACATTTAAAACAGGGTATAGAGGAAACTGGGCTGGAAAAAAAGACTGAAATGTACATTGAAGCTGTTTCTGTGCGTCTCAGAGACCATATTTGAACGTACCTGTTGTTTTGCTCAACAACATTGTCGCAACAACTAAAGTGGCCAATATAACGGCTGAGCCATACGTATACTGTAGGAACTTGACCCTTTTTCCTCAGAAACTGAGGTATTTTTGGATAGGGTCGGCACTCTTCTCTTCCTTTTGAATAGGATACACCACGTAGTTGTGAGGCAGGACGACAGCGGTATTGATTACAAGTGTATACCGTTGTAAACTGTAGGGTAGTACACACTCGACACAAAAGGATGGACGTTTAGTGTACTTTTAGGAGCTAATTTTTGGAAGCACTTGGTTGGGGTTTCATAGGCCAAAAAGTGAACGTACAGAGGAGAATTAGAGTCGGCTGCAAGCTCAGATGATGGCAAAGGAAGGAAGTGAGTGCAACTATGAGTGGCAGAGTACAAGCAGTGATTCCAGCAACACTGGTCGTCCGCGTTTGAAGGTTCGTGGCGTTGAGCTGTACAATTAGGAACGCTGAAAAGTGACATCACCAGTATACATCTAAACATCGAGAGAAAAACCTACCAACACTTCGATAAACCTTTTGGACTTCGAAGTTCGAACGGTCGAATGGCGAACCTCTGTGCTCAGGCGGCTCAACGGTCGTATCGGTCCTCAGGTATTTGCTGCCTGATTACCCAATCAAAGTCCAAGCTATACCGTCCAGCACGTGATGTGCGGGCCTATGACAGCTCAGCCGTCGGTGTGGATTCCAAGGTCGCAAATCGTCTGCTCAGCACAGGCGTCACGTGCGAAAACAGAACTGTGCCCCACCCTCGCCTGGTGACGCACGCTTTGACTTGTTCGGTCAGGTGAAGTGTGTGTGCATTAGACCGGCACTCGTGACTTTCGTGCCACCAAAGGCGTGTGCGAACGTGGTCGTGGGGACCATGCTGTGTGCCTTGAGTTGAGTCCAGGCGCATACCAAACCCTGGACTAGACATCAACGCCACAAAGCGTTGAGTCGAAGGCTCAGCGACTGAACGGTATGTCTTCATGATGTCCTGTGCATTTCACAGCAAACCGGTACTAGCCTGCCGAAGCGACTGTTTCAGGACGGAACCACAAGACTTCAGCATTGCCTTGACGACTAAACTTGCGTTTTCAATTTTCATTCTGACATGTTCTGCCTGCCTCGCCTGAGTTGTGAGTAAGGGATGCACTGGTTGTTTGGTGAGTGCAGCCTCAAATGCGCTCATGTGTCCAATCCTAGCTCACCTCACGGCCAACATTGTACTCGTTGGTTGTGTTTTAGGCAACTTTTCTTGCACAATAATCATGGGCTGCATGTTTGCTGCAGGGCCGTGAGGCGCTTTCTTTCTGTAGGACTCTCAGTGGATGTCTTGCAAGCGGGACTGCTGCGACGTTCAGCCGATTCGATCTAGAAAGGCGTACAAACTGCATTATGGTGCAGTATTTGCCATCGAAACACACTTTTGTTTCTGTTTCTTGGGCACTCCAGTGAGCAGGATGATCAAACTCGGTACGGTGAACTCGTCTGATCTTAGTGGATTTACCATCATCAGTTTATCCGAGGGAAGTTGGTCGGGAGAAAACTATAAATGGAACGGTTTCATCGTTGGTTAAATTTGGATCACCCTGATAAACTGTCGTGACTAGCGAGAAGATAATCGGAATTAGGGGTAGTGCTCTCGTTATGTGGTTTGGGATGCGGCGTTCGCAGGTGGGAAAACTCAGCTGAGAACTCGGGAAGGGAAACAGACATCGGTTTAACGCATTTCTCTTCCTTCGATTCCAAGAGACCTATGGTTCTTGAACACGGAATGCAGTGCTGAGTACAGACCTCACCAGATTATGGCTACTATCTCGTAGCGTAAAAACCCCAGGCTGACCCGTGCATCGTTGAAACCCAAGTTTGCTCAAAAACACCGGGTCTACTGGTGTGACGAGTTTATGCATGTGCTCTTGTTGTGTTGCTCTTGCTGTGTTCTGTAACCCTACACGAATGGCAGAAATGCTATCATCATACTTGCGCGAAATCAGCTCGACGGATTTCTTTCATTTCTCACGAAGGAGGCTGGGATACTGCCAGGTCGCCAAAGCCTTGACAGGGGAAGTCGAGAAGCAGAAGTCGGGTTCGAACCATGGACCTTCCGGTCAGTAAATTCGCGCTCTAACCACTGGGTCCCTCTCGTCCCCCTTTCACTCTTAACAAAGTAGAATCTTCAAATTTTCACTAGTTTTTTCCCCACTCACATAGGATAGAAGTCCATTAGAGTCCCACATTCCCTGGACAAACTCTTCGTGATGAGTCAATTTAGTTGAGCCTGACTTCCAAATCAGTCCATTGAAACCATGAATCTACTCATCCTTCTGACGCATTCGACGGAAAAACGGCCTAGTTCTAACGATAGTTCGTGCGATGGCTGACAGTTGGTCAGGTGTTCGTCGATCTGTTTGCTGAGCTTGGCGGTGGATTTGCAAACGTTTCGTCCCCAGTCGAGGAGGAGCATGACCCACTCAATTGCGCACTGACTGTCTCCTCGACTGGAGACGAAAAAGGTTTGCAAGCCTTTTCCTAAGCTCGTCGAATAGATCAACGACCATCTGATCAGCCACCAGCAAACACCGGGGCTACCAATATTTCGACACACTGACAGTTCGTGCCTCATATTACACTAATGCTCTAATTCCGCAGTTCCCTTGTTTACCTGGACTTTTGATTAGAACGATTGAAACTTTAGAGTTCTAGAAAACATTTTCAGACTTTCCCCCCGTCAGCGTTCCAACGTCACGTTGAATCGGTTGAGCTGCTTGGGTGTAACTCAACAGTCTCTTCCAGGTTAAGACAAGCTGTTTGCCCTGACTACGTTCCCGAATCCTCTATGTAGTTCACCGCTGCATTTAAAAAGTAACTGCAACGAACATCTACTGGAAACCCGCAACATCTCTCTGGATATTGGACGGTCTTAATCCGAATTTCGACACTTGCAAATTTATGTGGTAATAAGAGCTAGTAAAACCTTGGAATATATGCTTCATGGTATTCTCCGATACCTGGATTGTCAGCCCAACTGTAGCATATGGTGTCCTTTTCGCAGTATGTTCGGTTCGAGAATTTTACGTTGAATCCATCCGGAATTCGCAAATAAGTGTTTGGTTCCACATGTTTGTTTCGGTTACTGCCATGGGAGAATGTGTCCAGCACCAGAAGCTGCGTTGGTTGGACCATGTTTTGCGCATCCCTAACAGAGCTATTTTATGTGCTCAGTTCTGAGTGACAGAAGCGCAGAGGTGGCCAACATTGACCTGGCACAGGAATGTAAAAAAGATTACGAAAAGTCGGGATGCTGTTCCTAGGACTCGCTCTTCAGGATGGGGACCGCGTGATCCCCACTGTGCCTGGTTGGAAACGCTGCAAGATATTGCTGCTTATCGATGTCAATGGAGTTATTGCAGTCATTTTGTATCCAGACTGCCTGAATGAGTGTCCAGATGTGTAGGAACCTCGGAATGATTGTGGTAGGCCAGACTGTGTCTTGTCTCCGTCCACTCTCATTCTTTTCTTCGCAATAAGGCTTTCAGGTAAATCATGGCAGCGAAGCATCAGTGTTGGACACGGATGTTGATGATGACGCTATTCGCTTGGAGTACGAAATACGGCCAGCGGAAAATCGGGGACTACGCCTGACGATCCCTAAGACAGCCAAACTGGTGAGGATTTCCCGAAGAGTCTATATTAGCTTTGTGGATAGTACTCGTGTCAAATGATAATTCCGTTCCCTATGAAGGAGCTTTTTCAATCTAGAACAGTGCGGACAAATGACGTATGACCGAGTGTGTATTTCACCTCGTTACCCCTTACCTACATACTCCAACCTGTTATCCAATTAGAACGCTTGGTGGATCCCTGCGGTGAAAATGCACTTGTTCTCCTGCATTTCGTCTGCCATGCTGTCATCTGTATGCTTCAACAGTCTGGTTCCATTTCAACTCGATGTCCTGCCCGGTAGCGCAACAAGTGTGCGCTGAAAGCACAGCACGATTGCACTTTTTGTTCCTTTTTGACGCTATCTCCACGAGGACTCAGATGCCAAACCAGACACGTTCTTCATGGAAGTGTCTAAAAGATGCACAATGTCAAACGTCAAAATAGCTGTTCTGAATAACACATAGCTCCTCTCATAGAGTAATTCGTCCATGACAAAGAGAGGAGGTACTCCACGTGCAGCTCTATCAGCAAAGTTTTTCAACGGTGCGCATCTTTGGTTGGCTGGGATTGGAATCCCGGGCGTCTTACGTGCGGGTGTTTTAAGCGATTTGTTTGGTTTTCTTAAATGCTCGAACAACGATCTAGTAACTGCCTTGTTGATGCTGTAGACGCTCCGACAGTTTTTGATCAATCCGGACGTGACCATTCGGGGGTGCAGGTCGCCATTCAGGCCCAGTCACAGGTGTTGCGTTTCGTTCTCTGACGTATACCTTGACTGTGTATTTACGAACTTCAAGATCAATTACTAGAGAACCGTATGAACCTCTCCGTGAAACAATTCGGACGAATTTTGCAGCCTTCCAAGACGTAGTAGTAAAACCAACCATATTTCGTCATATTTTGCTGCGTTCAGTGGAGGATCTCTAATTTTTCGGTCCAAGTGTTCTCTCGCAAAAGTCTTGTGCAAAAACTACTTTCAGGATTTGTAACTTTGTTTAACACCAATTCCCTGTGCTCGAAAAAGAGGATCGTTTGCTCTTAATCTAGCCGTTCAGAAGTTTCCAAGGTCAGTTCACCGGCTTTGATTTCTCCGGGGCGTACTAGATTGTCGTTGACAACGAATTTCTCTACCGTGCACAGCAGTCTTTCGCAAACTGTTTCACACCACGCACTCTCATTTCAGTGTGTCACGGATTTCCAGTCCCTTCCCCCAGATTTCTTCCGACGCGATGAAAGACTACAAGCAGGTCGAAAACCACTCATAGGTAGTTTATAGGTGTTTCGTGAATCGACTAATCCGAGTGTGTGTCGCATCGGCCGATACTGAAGCATCTGTCTATTTCCATTGACCGTGCATGAATCCACAATCTTCGTTGCATTACTTGTGCTTCCTGCTGTTGATGTGGACTGACCAGGAAAAAGCGTCAGAATGAAGACAATGTGGCTGCAGGTCCATTCATTCTCTGAGTACTGTCGATCAGGGTGCAGGTCTGCTCATTTGACTACGCGTCTGGTTATGGAGCTTTTCGTATGCATTCTACTGCCGTGGTCTGGCTGCTGTTCGTGCACATTGCCTTTATCTCCGCGCCTAGTGCAGAGTAGAGACTGGTAGTTCACATGAAAAAGTTACAGGTGTTTCTGGATATCCGTACCTCGTGAACCAGCAAGAAACCATTCTTGATGACTTGCGCGATTCATCTGGGATTCCGATCAGATCTCACCATGCGCCGTCTACATGTTTGAACATTTCTTTTCCCCGTTCAGTCACGTCATTAGTTGGTTCACTGATCACAGTGAACCTGGAGCAGAACCCAACTGCTTCGAATAACCAGGCCTTAATCTGTCCATTTTTGCTGTCGACTGGGTCCTTTTCACGCAAAAGATGTTTCCTAACTGACGAGATACACTCCTCTGCAAGTTAAGTTGATGTTAGCTGAAGACTCATTTCATCTCTCAGCTGAATCTCTCATTTATGTTATTCTTCAACTGAATGTGCTGCATAGGGGCCTCCTCAAGTGTACAGCACCACAGTAGTATTACAGAATAGTCACGAAAAGGAACCTGACGGGCACTCCAAAGGGCTACTCAAGTCAACTCAAATCCCTGTACAAAGAGATTTTATAGTTCTTGTGTTATATCTGCTGATTCGCCAATCTGAGGTATCTGCTGCTGACCCGCTCCAGAGCCTAGTGTCGGAGAGAAAAAGGCTCACGGAAGGGAACACAATGGCTATATTCCAACACAGTTGTTGCGAGAGCGCGAGTGCGTGCGAGTGCGAAAAGTACAACGGCCTCAAGCTTTTTATTGGAAGGACACTGTCTGAACTTGGTCCAATGCTGACGCACGCGGTCTGGCTCTAGTACGAGGCAGCGACGTGCTGCATATTGCGGAGGCGTTGTCTGTCCTTGATCAACGCTGACTCGCGCTGTCTGGGTTTGATGCAAGGCTGTGACGCGCTGCATATTGAGGAGGCGTTGTCTGTCTGGTCAACACCCAGCGGAGCTGAGAGTCTCCGTAGATTCCGGGCATTCAGTGGTTGCTTTCATGAAGCTGACCTTCCTGATATCTTGACTGTGAGAACCGTAGCAAATATCTCAGGGCAGTTTATGTTTTAGGAGTTTTCGTGGTGTTATTGAAGTTACCACTCAAGGATGTGGTTTTGGGGTATCGCCGTTGTGTACGTGCCAAAAATGCTGAACGAAGCTTTGGGCGACGTTCACAGACTTCGGTTGCTTTGTGTGTCTACTGAAGCTGCTAACTACACATCCTTGCGTTCATTAAGCTTTCCTGGGTTTACTTCATGCACACTGGGAATTCTTTCACAAGACAGATGCTCCTAGGTCTCTTGATGAACGGATCATTGAGACTTGCTCATTTTTTGTCAATGACCCCATGAGTTCAGACAACAGCTGGTAAGCAGAAACTGGTTGAAAGTCACCCCATCGGCTTTTTAATAGAATGGTCTATGCGTATTGTCAGCTTGAGCGCTCCTCAACTATTGGGATTAGTTTCCAAGACATACATGACCAATGTACCCCGTCAGTGACCTCCATTCTGTTCAACTAACAAAATTCTGTTCCCAAATGCGTCACGCTCTTTCATCGATCGTTTCACTCACAAGCCTATGTGTGAGGTGAATAGCAGTATAGTTTCCGTTCGCCAAACTGTTATCTCAGGTTGCTACCTATGAGAACCTGGATTCAACACGAGAATATTTATTAGAAAGATTCTATGCCCTGCATCTGTCTACTTTAGAAGGCGACCTTCAGTGCAAAACATAAGGTTCTGAAAGCAGGACTTCCGAAAATATACGAACGCAAAATTTCATGGTAGGCGGCACTTTCCGCTACCTGATTGACTTGATAAAAGTGATTGCACACACACACACGCACACACACACACACACTTGTTTTTCCCCACTGTTCACTCTACGAGGAGTACGTTGGCTGACAGGTCCATTGCAGTCCAACGAAAACTTTCAGCAACCCTTGAAGGTGCGAAATTCGCAGTTTTCTGCAATGCTGTCGACTAGCATGAAGCAGGGACTCATTACACTTTCTCGGACAGCCGCAACAGCCACAAAACTGCAGTCCAACAAACTGATTGAAATCTTCAAGCTCGGTTTTGTTCTGTTCTCTAAAAATTTGCACATAAAACGGCCTAATGGAATTAACCGTGCTTCGCCTTCGGTTGCACCATTGGCGATTACTTATGTGGATCTTTTTTGCAGTTTGAGCAACATAGGTACTCCTTGACCAGATGTTCACGTCACAGCAACCCAGATTAGTGCTGGCTACGCGGGATTAAGTCACGTGATTTGTCACGTGTACGTGTGTTCCCATCCATCCACGCCACTGTGCCGGTCTGATGTGAGTCATCTGTCGTTGGAACACCAAGGCGGTTTATGGTGCAAATGAAGTGGAAAAGTCATTTTGACTATCTGGCCATTCCTATGGTGAGGCACGTTCAGGACCATACAGCGTACAAACCAGAGGGAACGTTGATCCCGTTTTAATACGTTGCAAAAGCACTAAAACAGTCGAGATAACTCAGGGCATTCCAGTGTTAAAAAATCTGAAGTGCATGAGCACGGAACCACGAGGAACTGCGATAAAAGTGAATTACTGGCCTTATCTGATAGGTAGTTCACATGGAGCTGCTGAGTACCGGGTCAGTCCGATCGATATAAGTGTAATAACTCCACAATTCAATAGGGAACCTGTTTTCATGTCCGTACCTGTGAATGGGACCGTCGATATTAGCCTGGCATTTGCGTTACCACAAGAAGTGATAAAGTTTCAATTCACGTTCAAATGACATCATAAGCAGCTTAGAAACATCCGGATCACCTACCAACTGGAAGTTTCGTCAGTTGAAAGGGGATGCTGTATTATTTCGACCAAGCATTTTTCCTGCACTCAAGAGTTGATGGCAACACATGGTTTAGCATGTCCACCACCGCAACTCGTAGAACGGTCTGGTATGTCTCATTCCTGAACTGCAGAAGCAAATGTATTGGGCCCATATGGTATTAGACCCATTCCACCCGCCTGCATCAATCTAGAACGATAGGATTATCTCCGACGTGCTGTCACAAGAAGCCGGTTTGCCTCAAGGTGCTCCCTTGGCTACGGAATGAGCAGGTCCTCGGACTGGATGACTTCCAGTACTCGAATGCATATATCACACTCCATCCCATTGTAACTAGTGTTGTTCTGTTTTGTACCATGCTTAGACAGGTTTAAGAGAGGATATTTCAACAAGGTAACTCCGCAGTGTACACCAGAAGCTTCTGCTCTTTGGTGTTGAGGTATTGAACTGGCCCGGTATGGAACACAGCTTAATTGAAGACTCGTACTCCTGAGATAGTACGAGGTGGCTCAGTGGATAGAGCTCGAATTTACTGAACGGAAGGTCCGTGTCTCGAACCCACTCTCAGCACCTTGTCTGCTCCTGTCTAGACTTGGGCAGCTTGGCAGTATCCTAGCCCTCGGGCTTCCTCCGGGTGGTATGGCAACTAGACGCCGAAAGGGTGTTACAGCTGAACGATTACCATCATGTGTTATCACTCCTGACACACTGAGTGGACAAAGACCCAAGGGTTTTCCACTGTTCTGTAACAATGATAGAACAACGTAAGTGACGATATCAACCAACACTGTACAGTATTCAGACATCTCGGCTGAACGGTCCCATCAACTGGTTCAATGATTTTTGCATTCATTTTCCACTTTATTTTGTCTGGAATATGCGAGGGTGACCAGTCAAACCGTCTTATCCATCTGTACACTGCATCTCCTTGCTTGTATTTTGTCCCGATCAAACCCTACATCGACGGATGCGGGCGCATAAGTATCTTGTTAGGGGGACTCACTCTATCCCAGGTAGCTTCAGGCTCTGCTATAAACACATCTGTATGACCTTGTTCACGTTCGCCCCGCCAGTCCACGGTTGCGCCCTACAGGCCTGACAATTTAAAATCGTGCTCTCTGCTCCACCCCTTGCCTCGTGTGTGTACACTTGATAGTGTGGAGACGTCGATGCTCACATTGGTTAGAGTTCAGCAGAGGGCTCGTTTCAACTTGCATACGTGTTTGCTGATCGTTCTCTGGTGCTAGCCCTTGTCACATGTTTGAAGTTGTTTTTTGCTCGCTCCATACGTACGTACTTGCGTATGTCCTAGGTGTAGTGGTACTGCAACGACGACCACCACCACCACCACAAACACCGACACCACTATCGCCACCAACCCGCCGCTCAAGTAGCAAATTTTCATGTATGCGGGCCCGGTCGATTCTGTTCATCTATTTACGTTGTTATTGGATAATGTTCAGTTTTTGGTTGAGGCGTACACGCACAGTAACATTCGTTCAGTTTGTTTACTCCACTCTGAATATATATGTGTGTGTATCGCCGAAGCTGGACGAAAGAAGCGCGTGCCCATCCAGTCACCAACTCAATGCGACTCCATATAACTGCTAGTTCCGTTGGTGTTGGATTTGAGTAGATGGTTCGGTTCATTTACAATAATAAGGCATCTTTTCAACAATGAAGACCAGGGCGGCTTCTCGTGCTTATCTGTTTTCTGCCCAGCGTGACATATTTGCGAGGTGACATCACTTCTATTTGATAGCCTGTTTGGAGACATCAGCTATGCATATCGTCCTAGTACGCCCAGTTGCCTTTATTGGAGCACCTACGTTGAATTTAGAGCGCTAGTGTATGACCGACCTTCGGGCCGTGGGTCTGTTAATGCTCTAACGGAACCCGAAAACTAGTTATACGAACGAGAAAAAGGGGAGCACTAACAATGTCCGCTTGTTGAGTAAAGTTACTACAATAGATATATATGCAAACAAGGGACTAATCGTTTTGCAGATGCAGTTTGATAAATCCTGTTGTAAATCCGGATGCAGGTTTCGTGTCTTCTTCGCTGTTGTAACAGCCACACGTAGTCCTGGATATCCGTGAGTGGAATGCCGTAAAAATCCTGAGCGGCTCTGGTCCGAGCTGGGCGACGTGCGAAGCTCTGTTGGGAGTTGTGTCGTGTTGCTGTGCTGGCATGCAATTTGTAGGACGTTTGTGTGTGTGTGGGTGTCAGCACATGACTTTTTGCTACCGTATCGGACGTTAGGCGGGCGATATCGGATGTGTATCGTGGTTTGTACTATTAGGAAGAAAAACGAGGTCTTGGGATGAAGGGCTTGACTGTGAGCTGTGTAGTCAAGTTAGTCACGATTGTAGCTTGATTTGTGAGTGCAAGGGAAAAAATAGATCTCGTGATCCAGCGAGTGGCGGTGACCTGTACAATCATGTATGTGGCGAAAGGGTAGCTACATGTCCTATGTTTGCGCCAGATTGCTGCGCTTTGTACTCGCTTTTCAAGTTTGGCTGCACTTTGCTCCAGAATAATGTACTTTTATGCGGAAGCACTGCGTAGCATACTGTATTCACAGTGCGCCTCCAGCAGACCTTGCAAAGTTAGTGCACTATGGTGCACTTATACACTATTGAGCTATTCGGTTCAAAACGGGAACCAGTTTGTACGGTAGGGCGAGTAATATCCATGAGCGAAGTGGATAAATCTGTCGTCGAACCCTCAACTCATCTAGAAGTATCAAGCTCAGTGGACTATGCAGATTTGGGAAAACGTGCAATCATTCAACATAGCCTCGGAGCGGACGGTTCAGGAAGGGTAACGATTCGAATTACACTAGAAGAGCTCGAGCATCATTTTTTGCCGCATTAGGGTTATCGCACAAGATCTTTCGCTTAGTATCTTCTGGCTTTATTGCCCGACAGGTTTCTCCACAGGTTCACGTTTGTTAATATATACCTCAGCGCGTAGTAGCAACACACCTGCTAAGCACGCCCTACCTCTGCAACAGACAACTCGCGGTCGCTTCGCCGCATGCGTCTTCTGTAGCGATAAGAAGTTCAAACGAACCGATGTGGCACAAAACACAGCACCAGCGTTTGTTTCGTACTGGTTGTTATTCGATAAGGGCTTAGCTCGAACGGAAGGTCTGGATGTATCAGCTGATCCGCCAATGAGCCACGAATAATTCAATCAGCCTTGTGTCTACGTTACGTAAAATTCCATTTTCCTCAGACCCATATTTATCGTGCCGTTTATTACGAAATTTCGCCCATCGATTTCTGTGCTCATCAGATGTCAGAAACCCGCCACATCGGTTTTCTTTCGTTCTACGTATGTCATGCTAGTGGTTAACTCATTAATAATTTGTACGCAATATTTCAACAATGAACTCATGCTGTCTAATGGAATGTATTGACCGAATTCGGAAAGCTTGAAAGAATCATGGGACAGATACATATTATTCTCTCATAATATAGACTTGGCCTGGCCACTTCGTAGTTGTTTCGTCAACAGAACAACCCAGCTTAAATATCTGACTCATCCATATAAAGTTATGTTGGTGGGCGTATGTGGCGAGTTGCTTTCACCGGCTTAGCGAATCACTTCCATGCATTGGTCAGTTTAGTTGTGTTATTCTGATCCACGTGGTGATGTGGGATTGTGATATACACCTGATCTTTTTGGGGAAACCATTGATGCGTTGGTTTGCTAACCGACCCGATGGCTTACCGTCGAACTCGGTGACCGGTTGGCGTTTACGCTTTGATACAAATACTCCAAGGTTTATAGTGGTGATTTACTTGTTAGCCCTCCCTACTCTCGCAACCAATCAACTCACCAAGGGCGTGACAAAACCAACAGCCAGGTCGTACGTGATTTGGGCTGTTGAAGAATAACAGTATGAATGGGAGAGTAGGAGAGAGTAACAATCTATTTGTTGGTGTTACAATCGCTAATCGTCATTACGTTGAATGAAATTAGGTTTTCCGGACACGAATCGTAGTCACTTTTAATACAGCCGACCCAAGGCGAAACACATCGCTTAGCTGCAGTAATTGGGACGCTCCTCCATTCCTCTTCGGTGTCTGTTCCCCAGAAGAGCGAATGGTCTGCACGCGGAAGCAGCTACTGAATATGGACTTTGCAGTGAACTTCCTTTGCTTCACATGGTCCATATGACAGTCACTCATGAAAACCAATCATATTTTGCCAAGTCCTCGTTGGATGTCCCCATCTTTGTCCCGTTCTGTGCGGATGTTCCAATGAGCAGATATCACAAGTGTATAACTATCTTCAATTGCGAGGTGTCTTCCCTGGGTTGAATCAAACTGATGTAGTGGCAGGTGTCAATGATTGCCTAGGGAGTGTCTCACTCAGTATACTTACTGAGAATGTGGAGGGTATCTCCATTATTCAGGAGCCTTAGTGTATTTTATGGGTGATATATGAGTAGCAACTACCAAGCCTGTAGTAACAAGCATAGCCTTGTGCCTTGAACATGATTTGAAATGAGTTGATGCCGCTTCCCCCACTCTTCATCCTAACCCAACACACTAGACAAGTGTTGCTATAGTGCCTAGCACCTTTGACCCAACGCAAGCAAAGGGGCAACGCACCTTGCAGGACCCGTAGGGATAATCCAGCAGACCGTGACTCACCCGAGTCTGACATCCCTTTAGCTGGTTTGTCGATAGACTGGATCGGATCTGTGCAAATGTGGCACTTTTCCGCATGCCGATCTTGGCAGGCGGGTTGTGTCACCGGTTGATTTCGTCATTAAGTCTGGATGTGCAGGCGCTCAGTACTCGCACAATGGATTTGAATTTTGCAAAGCCAGTCCCAACTTTTTAGCCCCATGTAGGCATCCCAGGGTCTCAGCGACGCTGGGAAATCGTTCCACCAGGCTTCAGTGGACAATGTAATTTAGTGTGCTGCAAAAATATGGATGTAGATTAGGATGGTTTGTGGTTTGAGCACATATGGAACATTTTGGCGCAAAAGTTTTACTCCACTTGTAAAGGTTTTACAGATAACAGCATCGTGTGGCCAATGCACGATCAGAGGGGCCTGTTTTCGCACCTACGCAAAACAAGAGCTATGCTGGTCGCTGTTCCCGTCTGCTGATCCGCGTTATAGTGATAGCTATCCCGCTACGCGCGATCGGACAGGCCCTGTGTAGCGGAATTCGCCGAACTCATGCTAGGCTACCTTTTGGGCAGGGTGATCCACCGGACACTGGACGCATCACTTGGGCTTTGGGCCTCGATAGTCTTGCGGCCATCCACACTTCATAGGGTATATTGGTTTCTCGTGGGTGCTGTCGGCATAATACTAATTTTATGAGGGCCAATTAATAACCAGAAAACGTTCCTTTCCACTCGGTATCTTATCAGAAACATCCGTTCCCAGACGGAACGCAGCCGCAACAAAGTTTACCGTTGAGTGTCTGTTTTCGCCAGCTCCATCCGAGGCCGCTACGTACGGCTTCAGCACTACTCAGAGCAATCGACAGCTCAGTCCTCATGCCATATATGTTCAACCGTCCACTGGTGTTCGTTTTTCACCAAATTTCGAGTTTTTTCGTGGTTTGGTGTTTTCAGGCCCCTAACTATTGGCTTGTAGACTTGTAAAACGAAATTCCGGAATTCCGGACATTGGGCAACAACGTAGTACTTTCCTTGGTAACTTCAGCTTATCCAGATTCCATAAGAAATAACGTCACTTTGCCTTCCCAGTTGGCGTTTTGTTGCTATATACGGGCACGGAATGTTTTACCTCATCTTTACCAAGTTCGATTTTTCCCGTGCGACAAAAATTATCCTAAGGAACTGTCGAATAAAACGAAGCATAGGAACAGCCTGGTTGACATTGGAAGCCTATCCTGCCTGATACTGTTTTAATAAAACCTTAAAAATTCACGAAGATTCGAGCCTACCTGGAGAATTAAACGCGGGATAACCAAATGGAACCACTTAGACCAGTTTTGCAGGGCGCTCAGTATTGGCACAACGGAATGTAATTTTCGAAGGCTATGACGTGTATCTGATGGACTAAAGTAATCAGGCAATTGAATTGAGATTACTAGTCAGAACTTTTGAGTCCCATTTAGGCATTCTGAGGTTAACGATGCTGGGGAATTAATCCACCAGAATTTTCCGCCAGAGGTATGATTGCTCCAGTGGACAGTGTAATTTGGTGAGATGCAAAAAATGAATATAGATTAGGATGGTTTTTGGTTTGAGCACATACACAACAAAACGCAACATTTTGGCGCAAAAGGTTTCACTCCACTCGTAAAGGCTTTAAGAGCATTGTGTGGCTAATAGACTCCGTTTTGCAGTTTAAGGCCTGATACACAGACCATGTCGACTGTTTCTGTACGTCGAATGTTTCCGTACGCCGAACATCCAACTAGTGCTTGGGATTCGGTCAAATGAATGTAGTCACGATACATGTTTTGTCCATCACATCTTTAAGGTGGATGCCTAGGTATGTTTGTTTGTTCTGGTAGTGTCTTCACGAAGATTTTGGCAATAACGTTGCATCTAGTTGCATCTAAATGTCAACCTGTATGATACCCAGTTGGTTGTATGTGGTTGAGTAGTTTGTAGAATCACATCACGCGCTTGCTATCCTGGTGCAACTGTTCTGGTGAGAGACTCGAGTTTCGCTCGAGATAGCTCAGTGGTTATGCCTATGGACCGGCAGATCTGTGATTCAAACCCAACCTCAGCATCTCAACTGCTCCTGTCTGGGCTCGAACAACCTGACAGTATTCCAGCTCTTGTGCCCCCTTCCTTTGGCATGGCATCTAGGCACCGTAAGGGTGCTACGGCTGAAGGTTTTTTGTAGTTCTTGTTAGAACTCATCAGCAGAACATATTCATCATGGTGCCGGTGTTTGAACTCCAGATATCTGAAATATGAGGTGAGTACTTCACCAGGACGCACTGCATGGACCTGAATTATCATATTCGAACGGACGAACTCGTCCGTATTTGATGCCGAATGCCTTGCCATAGCCAAGAATGCACACCGCGGATGACCTCTAAGAAGATGGGTACTCGAGTCCGTTGACGCCCCTCTTCTGTGTGAGCTCACCAGAATGATTGCATCAGGGCAGGAGGACAAACCAGAGAGATATGAATATGCATAATATACATGACTGTTCCCCGAACGCGTCCTTCTGTATTTTCTAGACCGGCCTTTCTACAACCCTTGCCTGTTTTGTTATCCTAGTGATATGAAAAATTTGTACACCAAATCTATACATAATGGCTTTTTGGAACAACCGCTAAGATAATTGTTCTTCGCCGTGATGTTAAGGTCTAGATCGGTGACAATTAGCCTTTTTCCTCATCCGCGCGTTCTGCAACCAATTCAGTAGCCTTTGCACCCGCAACAACTGCGATTGGATAACAGGTTTGCCGTTATCCTTATGTCTGTCCCTTTCTAATAGCATCGAAAACAAGCTGGAGCATACAGTTCACGTTCATTTTTAATCCAACGCAAATACACTCAGTATGAACTTTATGCTTCAGTGGAGTGAGGGCTCACAACGATTTCTGTAAGATATCAATTTGAGCAATTGTTCCGGTTCGTTTGTGATCCACTGTGCCTTCAGTATCTGGTGTTTTGTTGGAGAGCGCTGGCTACATGCCACTCTGAGTATTGAGACCGACTTTTTACGTATTGGGCATGCAAGTGCTGTTTCTCCTGTTTCTTGTTGGCCGCTACTTTAAAAATCCTCTTTCGGTGTCTGAAGCAGTTGACAGCTTAATGTTTAAGGCGCGAACTTACTCATCAGAAGGCCCGTTGTTCGAAACCAACCGCTATTTTTCTACTACTCCCGTCTAAGCTTGCTCAACCTGGCATTACTTCTTTCGAGTGGCATGGCAGATAGGCATCGAAAGGGTGTCACCTCTGGACGGTTAGTACTGGTATTAATAAATTTTTTGGTCTCAAAGATGAAAGCATTTGAATACACTGAGAAGAGTCGACGAGCCCACATATTTTCTACCCATTCGTACAGAAACTCTGACGTGTTTGGTCTGGCTGTGCAGAACGTTGGTCAATAAACATTCGTCAGAGGGCCATTTCGATACGGAAGTACAGTTCACTTAATTTACTTTCCATAAATATACCAAAATACTCTATTAATCCTTCTGATCTGTTCGCCAGTCTTGGCAAACATTTCGTCAATACTTGAAGGGGTACTGTTGGTGCTCCCGATGATGAACAGGCCAACAAGCAATTAATGCATTCAACCTATGAGTATTTCAACTCACCAGTTTTACACACTCACTCAACTTTATCTTCAAGCCTAAAAGCAATGAATATCAACATGCTTATTCTGATTTCTGAAATTTGATTTCCCGTTATTGCTGTGAATTCTGACCATCCGTTCAGCATAACGGATACAGTTTAGATCAAGTTGTCTTTTCTATGGAGACTTGCTGGACAGGTTTGTATCAGGTTGCTTCAATAACTGATGGGAGAGTAAAAATATTTTTGATCTACTCATTCTTCTACTCCATTCGTCATATCAGAAATTACACCGTTTGACACACCTTCGTCGAGGTGTAGTCTTCACTGAGACCACTGTCTGTTACGAGAAGCAATGCTCACCACATTTCGCTTACCGAACACATTTTCGTCAAGATGGTTGTAGCTGTCTTTCGGCTTTTTATTCCCAAGAGTATTTCCAGCCATCACATCGACTGATGAACCTTTCATCAGTTGTTTTGGGGTTGCTTTAACCGAGGCAACTTTTGTACACCGCACTGAGATTCAAGTAACACGAGCTGTAGCGATTACAGGATATCAGGAACCGGCAAATTTCTGCTGTAGCAACACCATCCCCGTTTGGCCCAAGCACAGATTAAGCCAACTAGTGGTAGATATGTTTCTGAACTTTGGCTCCGCTTCACCATATTGAGTAGGGATATCCCGCAGTTTCGTTCTTCTTCTGTGGTTCTTGTTTTTTACTTCTCCGTAAAAACCATCGCTTTATATTTGTTTTTCGCTTGGATTACTAATGATCTTGCGTGGCTGCGTTGTCGAGTTTTTGGTCCCACTCTAGCTCTCTACACTTTTAAAGTCCAATTGGTGAGCTTTCCTCTCCCTTTTGAGTTAATCGTCCTGCTCTTTTATTTTGTGATGTTTTCTCAACGATTGAATAGGTAGCCAACGAAATTTTAATGATGGAATAGTGCGATGATAAATGCACAATAAATGGCGCAATAAGTGGAGGGGCAATGGACTTGTCTCACAAAAACCCCACGGCAACGGACAAAGCCTTTAGATGGTGTTCTCAGGATTCCGTACGTTGCCTTTATAGGAGTTGGAAGGCTTTCTCAGCCTACGGAGCCGACCATTTTGCACCTGTCTCGCGGACGTTGAGATCCAATGGTCTAAATAGGCCCCAGTGGAGAGTTGGCGTTGGGTACAATCGCTACGGCCAGTGTCAACATGAGTAACTTTCTGAGCGCGTTCAGCCGTGCGTCACAAAAGTACACGATTGCCATGATTGTGAAGGTTGACAATTGTACGACCTTGAAACCCTGTAGCACGGTACACGCCCATTGGCTTCCAGGCCCCGCCACACCCTGTCGTACAGCCTCTGCGATAGCGACGTTGACAGTGTCAACAACTCGCATTCGAATCGAGACAGCAAAGCCTGCGATAATCTGATCGAACAAGTTGATAATAGTACAAGCTGTGGGTTTTCTCACCTGACGACTAACCTACACAAGCTCAGACACGCCGTCACTACAACATTTGGTACTGATATAATGGAACACATCGTTCACTCCGTTCCTCAATAGGATTTGTGTGTCAGCGCACAGCGCCTCTTGTACTGGGGTTCGTGGTCAACCTTCCTTTAAAAACGGAAGAATTGAACTAGACCACTTACTCCGTTTCGACGGACGAGAATGATGTCTTCGTGACATGGCCTCTATCTTGAGAGGGCTTGAGAGGTCCAACAATCTGATCTGTTTCTCCGTAGCAGGGATCGGAACAACAATACAAGCGAACAAGAGGGTATGATTAGTATTCGAGAAAGACTCAGCAAAGACTTCCCAATGCATACGGCAAGTAAAACATAGTTGTACGCACCAGGAAAAAGCGGGTCATTTTCGTCTGGACTTTCAGTTCATACGATCGAGTCACCTAATCGGGTAAATGCCGGGTTGCTGCTAACTACCGGGCTTCTGACTACAGAGTAATATTACCTATGATCCATACACTGTTAAATGGTCTTCACATAAAAGCGAGCAGATTGCTATCCAATTATTTACCATTTTCCCCAGCAGACCCAGGTTGATTGCTTTGGATTTCGCGAAATTTTGTGCAGGCTTTTTGAACAACTAGTGTCGTATTCCTGGCTGCGAAGACCGTAATCTTTTATGTCTGCTACTTTGTAGAATCGACTATGGACAAATATCTAATGAGCGTCCTGGTAAAACCGTATGATTGTGTATTTCATTCACAAACAACAGGCTGTTGGTCCGTTAGTATTGCGATGATTTTTCGAGTGTGGCCAGCTTCATTCAGCATTTTGAAAGTGGGGAGTGGAGATAGTGTTTGTTCGAGCACTCTGGATACTTCTTGTTCATTTGGTTCGACACATATTGGGACCAGAAACCTAAAAAGGCGTTTTGTCTGCTTTCATTATAACCGAGTGTTTACCAACTTCTCCGTTTCAGTGTTTCTACTGTGTTTCCCGCCCACCCCACATGGCTTATTTGTCATCGTGTGGAACAACTTCATGAACTGCTTCCTCTCGTCTGCTGCCACTTCATTAATTAAAGGTCGTTTCCACAAGGAATTGATACGTGTGTTGATGTATGTACCGTGATGGTGGATTGGTGGTTGAAACTCCCTGCTACGATCGCCTTCTGGTGTCCACTTTTGATAGGTCCCGTCAAATTCATATGAACCGTATTTAAAGTGATTTCTTACCATCCTGATGGTAATATGTAGGGTAAACGTCCCCTTAAATCATCATCCACATTATCTATCCATAAATGAAAGAAAAAACGGATGCTAAGTTAAGGCACGTATGATTCACGAATGAGTGCTGGAATGTAATGCCCCGACGTTCACTCTTGAGCACTCCTTTTAGATGGGTTCTATCCGTGAACATTGCATAGAAGTTTCTGTTTACGTTTCCCTTCGATTAGTGATTTTTTATTCATTTTTAGGCTGCCCTCGTATTCTGTTGGAATACGCGGTCCATGGGAACATGCGGGATTTCCTGCGCCAAAATCGACCTTCGGATTCCGTTTCAGTCGATGATGTGGAACTTCCCAGCATTAATTCTTCCCTGGACCTAATGTCAACCCCCGATCTGGTCAAACTGAATCCTCAGGCCCTTCTGCGTTTCGGGTGTCACGTGGCAGATGCGCTCACTTATTTAGAATCCCTTAAAGTAAGCCATAGAACAGCGTGGTTTCTTCTTAGTTTTCGTATTTTGTTGAAGTACATGATATTTGTTTGCGGTTTTGCACTGTTCAGTGCCGTATTCCATATTTGCAAGTGGACGAGAGTTGAACTAATCGTCTATCTTCGGACCAGCAAGGACAAATGAACCAACGTACCTATTAGTTAACTTTTCTGAAGGATTCGCAGATATTTTTTTATCGAGTACACGCTTGGTATGTATTGTGTTGAGAAAGGTGGTACGTTACCGTGACTACTATAAAACTTCAACATGGTAACCTGACTCGCTTATGGGCATGCCATAAAGGACAATGACCTCGTGACCGAGAGATTCAACTGGATTCAGTGGAGCTTTCTGTTAAAACCAAAGTCGTGTGCAACTGAGAGTATTCGTTTTATCCTGCTAAATGTTTCGACGACTAAGTACGCATCACTACTTACTCGAGTTTCCTTCTTAGTGGGGCTTATCATCAGTGCCAGGATTTGAGTCCCGGACATCCGGTGTACGAGATGGGCATGTTACAGCCAAGTGACACAGTCAATGCTATGCAGTACCAGTAAGCTCGAATAAGGGCGAAACACAGGTCCCCTTGATTCACCTTCTTGGTATGGCTTTGCCAGATTACTAGAGCCAGGGCCGTAATAGGAATGTGCGAACAAGAGTGATTTGAATGCAAATTCCACCTAAAACAACTACCCTACTAATTACACTACACTAAGGGTACGTATCTCATGACATTAGCAAGTACTTAAAGCAGGTTGCTTTGGTTCTTGCTAACCGAACAGACAAACTGCGGTAACAAGTGGGATTGGCCAATTAAAATCCCAATCTGCCGTGTGTAATTTCATATAGTTCCAATTCCCTCTTTAAGATGAATTAGATGTGCCTATTTTTAGGCTGGTACTATACACAAACGAGCTAGCAGAGGACTTGATTTCATGACAGGTAATCGGTCAGCGAAATCGACCAACTATCATCTGCCGACTGACTCATCTAGTACTCACTGATGTCTCTTAGCCATTGGGGTCCTGACACCTGCAGAACCCACACGTACTCAAGATTGGAGTTATGATTGATGTACGACGCAATAATACAAGGCGGACTAATTTTTTACAAAAATCCATTGACCATTCTTCGATTCTATACTTCCACAATACTACCCAACATGACTCTACTATGAAGATCGGGTGCACCTTGTTGGTATGCATCCCGTCTCCATAGAGAACACCAACCCGTTTCTCTCCTCGAGTTGTTGCCTAATTGAAGGTCAGAACCAAAAACAATGCCGAGTCAAACATCGCTAGAATAATTGGCGAAATACACGCATTCGCAAGCTAATTCGGTGTTAAAGGGACACTTCCCCTAAATCGCAGCTACATCTCTCGTTCATGAGTATTCTTCAACCGAATGTGCTGCGCGAAGACCGCCTCGCGTTTCAGTCAGCACGAGATCTCGCAGTATGTTTTCCTGACACAACACACTACTCATAAGGCTGGTGAAAGCCTCAGGGTCAGATTCTGTTGGATTGACATGCCAAGAAACCAAAGATACCAGGGAACAACTACAGTCACTTTGTGTACAGTGTTGTTTTGAAGACATAAAGTTACTTCGCGAATGCTACAAACGATAAGTCGTACTTTCGAAGCACATTTCCTGTAGCAGTGGTCACGAGACCAGTAATGACAGTAAGTCCATGCTTCTTAGATCTTCCTTTGTTTGTGTTTGCTTCTACAAGCTCGACTTTTCTGGACGTAATGGTATGCACGTTCGAACCCAATAATGATCGCATAATCAATCATACGCCACTAACCTCATGCAGTGTAACCACAGTTTTCGTTCAGTGAAGTCGCGACGACCGCGTTGTTACCAAGTCCTACCTCAAGACGTATTTGTTGAACTTTGCCGAACCCACGGCTTGCGCGCATCGCGTCTTAGTTATCGAATTATGTTCACACTGTAGCAGTACCCCAAGGCGTGGGCTCTAAAAATCCCAGTTACCGCCACTGGGTTTTAGTAATAATAATAATAATCGTTCACTTGTATCAGCCTTTTTGAGGCTGGAGGCCATGCCATCTGAAGGAAACACGAGGGCTGAGATACTGTCAATTTGTCCAAGCCTAGATAGGAAAGTCAAGACGCTGAGGTTGGATTCGAACCAGGGAATGGCACTGGCTGAAATGACCGCTCACGCTTTCGTCCACGTTCTGCGGTTGTTGCTCTAACACGTAACAGAGACTCGTGGCGTTTGGATTCGTCTTATTTGTTTCTGTTCATTTATTTGTCATCAGAAAAAAAACATCTAAAAAGTTCTGAAAATCAATCACTAAACCGTCACATCTTTGTCGACTATTTTCAATTAACATAACGATTGGTCTTCGAGGCTAGAGAGCACACATCATAATGCTTCGAAAGAGTTCGGAATTCTCCGTCCAACAGTTTCTGTACACTTGTCCCATAACATCCTCAAATAAATGTGAGATTGTGTTGCAGTGACCACAGTTAGCCGTTTCAGTGTTACGTTCTTAGGCCTGTTTTGGGCCTGCACACCGCAGCGGATAAGGTTGTAATTTCGTCAGCATATTTTGGTCCCAAAATATCGGTACTGAAGTACAGAATACAGTCAAGACTTGCGATATGTACGTCCAGATGTCACGATGTTGGTGTGAACCGTATTCAACCACAAGCTGCGGATCACTTGGCGGGGAATCGGTTCAATCCACACTATATATCGAACGAAGTGAGGTAGGGGCCACATATATTAACTTTTGACCACTTATACGACGGTTCCAGTGTTACTGTGAGGTAATTTCACACCTTGGAGTACGAACGCCTCTTTCTAGCACACGCGATCCCAATAGCAAAAAAAACCGCCCCGTTGAATGTCCTTCCTAGTAAGTTGGGTCTTATAACGAAAGATACTGCACATTGCGAAACGTTTTCTGTCTTACAGATGTTTCATGAATTGCGAGACAACTGCTGTCCCAAATGGTTTTTGTATTTCTCTCGCGAAGCCAGTCATGTTTGCATATTGCTCTGCATATCCAAATACATTCACAAGCTGTTAAACTAATCGGTCCAAAAAATTGACAGTTAGTCTGTGGTATGACCCTGTGTAACTTGAACTTCATGACGAATAACCAACCAGTGACTTCAAGGGGAATTTCACATGCAATCGCCGAACGGCATCCTTTACTCTGAACTATGAATAAACTGGCGAAAATGCTGTCCACAAAGGAAATATTTCCATCGTTTTTTAAGGACATTTTGCAGTTCGATTTCACTCGTGAGACAGCCAGCCGTTCTGATATTCTTAGCGGAAAAGTCCTCCGGGATAATGTGACTTGACACAAAATTGCAGCTTTCTTTTTGGGGATTGAACACTGGCAGAAATTTTCCTCAATCGATCTATGTTACCATACAGGTGATTTCTCCAACACCCAGGATTGCCTTCTGGGTGAGTGATGTAGATTGGCTGCAAGCTTCGTAAAGAAGCCACTACTCAGACTCGTTCTCGACAATTTTCCGTCAAGTCAGATTTTGTTGGATTACTGTATTCTGAGGATAAGGTAGTAGATATTGAGAGAGAAATGCTGGTCGTTGGTTGTTTGTATTCTGTTCACTCAGTTGGGTGACGTCATCAGTACGTAGTACGTGAGCAGTCTGTCGGCTTATAAATGGACAAAACAATAGTGAGCTATGTAGTTGAAGTAAAGACACGACTTTTTTACGGACTGTCTGCACTCTGTGAACGATAAATCATCCTAGTAGTTATCTAATCGATGACCTGTGGGAGCTACTGGTCCATAAATTGTGCCAAAATGCACGGGTCCAGAATTCAGTGGCAGTTTCCAAACAAGAATGGGTTAGTACTTACGCCGGCCCTTTGCAAGTCGCTAGTCGGATACTCATTAAAATCTTATACTGGGGAATTGATGTAGCCTGTCGTGCGTCTCCCCACACTCATTCGAAAATGTCTAGGTCAATCAATGAAAACCAACCGATCTATCCCAAACTGAAACAAACTTCGTAACAGATTGCCGTTGTCTTGTTTGCGCACAGTTCGTTATTGGCTGTCGTCAAACTCCCTGTTCCCTGCCTGTCTTTAGTCATTCACTGTTCTCGTAAGCTGAGGGTCCTGTGCCAATTTTCTACAGGCTCCACTCGACGAACTTTGGGTGTCCTTAGATATCCACTATGAACCCGGACGATTGAACTGCGATATTATTACTCCATTGGTATTTTCCCCCAAAGGCGTGTTGGTAATAGTAATAATAATCGTTCAGCTGTAGCACCCTTCCGGTGCCTAGCTACCATGCGACCCGAAGGAAGCGCAAGGACTGGGATACTGTCCAAACCTAGACACGGGAGGTCGAGATGCAAAGGTTGGGTTCGAACCACGGACCTTCTTGACCGTAAATTCGCCTTCCTACCACTGAGTCATCTCGCTCCCAGGTGTTTTGTTACTGCCCTAATAGTTATCTCAAGTAGGTTCTAGAAGACATACTAGACTAGTTCCGTGGTAACGACTCGGCTGGAGAGCCATATATTGTGAAGCACGGTGGATTCCCTCTTCAATGACTGTTTTTAGCCAGTCAAATCGAATTCCTACTGCGAAACGCACAAGTGGTTTTCCACCCCTTGGTGAGAATAGTTGGGGTGTATTCGGACTGTCTGCACTTTATGAACGATAAATCTTCTAGGCCTATGGGAAGGTACGTGAACGCAAAATCAGCAAGCATGTAATTCAGAGTGAGCACTCAAACGCGACATTGTCCAACGTCCATTTTCTGGGAAGACCACCCCAGGTGGTCCTGCTAGTAGCCTGGAGGGGGTCTATCATATTCTTCTTCGAGTCCTAAGTGAAATTGTTTCACTTTATGATTTGATGCAATAATCGTCTAGGCTTTTAGACACATTCTCTTAAGATATGCGTTGAACATATCGAAACTGGGATAATCAGGTCCTCGTTGTAATGCACATGTCCTAAC